CGAATCGGTTCTCCAACAATTCCAGCGACACATGCAGCAGCACCAGGAGCTCCAGCCAGAAAAGGTTGTTGCTTGGGGTTAGCTGCAGCAGCACGAGTGCCTCAAGCAACGGTACCAGTGGCTCCACCTCAAATCAGCTCTCCAACAATTCCAGCGACTTATGCAGCGACGCCAGCTGTTTCGCCGAGAAGAGGTTGTGGTCGTGGAACTTCGAGAGGGTTGGCAGCTGTTACAGTGGATGGTGCGGTTCATCCAGCAACTAGTGGTATTGGGAGGCTTGCAGGAGGAATTGACGGCATGGAGACTGCAGGAGCTTCGAGTAGTGGAGTGCCGTCTGAAACTGCTTGTGAAACGGTTCCATTAACCTTCAGTGGAATGCCAGTAGAGCCAGTTGTTAAAACGAGTGGCATAGAAATTGTGAAAAAGAGGACAGGAGAGTTTTACTCAGGTACCTGGTACGAGGTGTTGTGTATGAGGTTTTTTGTAATTTTTTATATTGTTTTCTTGAATGTTATTTTAGCGTTTTCTTGCCGCTCGCATCCAGATGGTGTATATCCTCTTCCTGGGTCTTTGTCTTCTATTGTGTTGTGTCATTCTGGCGATGCGGTAATTTTAAGTTGCCCGGAGGGTCTTGTTATGGACGAGAGGGAGTTGAAGTGTGTGGAAAACGGAGGAAGAATTCGAGGGAAGGTGTGTTTTAGATTTATTTTCACTTTTTTAGTTTTTTTGATCGTGTCTTGTATTACTGATTTTTCAGCGTCAAGCTCCATATAATTGGGGATTAACAACGCCGCTTCGGTCTTATACAGGTTTGTTGCGTTTTTGAGTGAGGTTCTGTTGACTGTGTTTCAAGTGTTCTTCATTGTGCGTTCTTAAGCTTGCTATGGAATGGGATATGGGACCTTCTCCTTTGGGTGTTCGCCTGTCTATTATGTGTCACTGCCTCGGTATTGCAATCGCTTCGTTTGCCCATCGTCGCTGGTTTTCAACAATTTGGCGCAGAGGTGTACGCCTCCGGT